TCTCTCTCTCTCTCTCTCTCTCTCTCTCTCTCTCTCTCTCTCTCTCTCTCTCCCTTCTAAAGCAGCAGAGCCAGACTTCTACCCAGATGTGGGGCACCGAGGGGAGCTGTCCTGTCCCATCAGGCTGTGCCCAGCCAGGAGTCTCCAGAGAGGCAGAGAGGCAGAGTGCTCTCACCCAGAGACCTCCCTCCTCGGAGCCAGTACTTAGGCAAGATTTCCAACTGCAAACATCAAAACCAAAAATCAGTTTCATGAACATGTTTTTTTTTTTAATAGTGACTCAGGGCAAAACCATGACAAGTTAGTAACTTCATTTTCAGTTTAGACTGAGAATTTGTAAAAATACTTCCATATCCACTATCCCAGTTGAGGCGTGTAGAACCCTGCTGACAATATATATTGTTATCCCTGCTTTTCATAAAAAAAAATGCCTCATTTATTCAGCCCTTGCTTACTGAATGCCTACCATGGGCCAGGGAGACAGCAGTTACAAACAAAACAAGCACACAAACAAAAAATGTCCTTGCCCTCTGAGAGCTTTGTGACCTGCCGGACACAAATAAGCAATCAGCAAAAAGAGGTAGAGAGAGCTGAGGAGAAAGGATACCGGGTAAGAGAAGGGCGAGCCGAGTGTTGGGAAGGCTTCCAGGGAAGGTGATATTTCAGAGACCTAAGTGAGCTGCTGGAGGAGCAGCCCTGGGGTTGGTCCTCTGACACCGCATCTTCTTTTTCCATTACCTCACCCTGACTCTCCAACAGTGAGCCCCGCGGTGCTAGTCTTTGATTCGATCCGGTAGATAATTCTACTAGGTTACTAGTTACAGATAATTTAATTAAATGAGAAAGTCTGACATTTAGATTTCTCCTTTAAATAAACAAAATGAAACGAAAAGCCACTGGTAGGTTAACATCGGTGTCCCTGTGGCTCATCCTCCATGCCTTCCCTCCCCCTGGGACCCTGCAGCAGGATGCATTGCCTTGCTTCATCAAAGGGAGTTAAACTTTAAAAGAAAAGCGATGGTTTTACCTCCGGAAGCTTGGCTACCTGGAAACTTAACCTCAAGAGCCAGGCAGTGGTGGCTCACGCCTTTAGTCCCACCACTTGGGAGGCAGAGGCAGGTGGATCTCTGTGAGTTCAAGGCCAGCCTGGTCTACAAGAGCTAGTTCCAGAACAGGCTCCAAAGCTACAGAGAAACCCTGTCTCAAAAAATGAAAGAAAGAAAGAAAGAAAGAAAGAAAGAAAGAAAGAAAGAAAGAAAGAAAGTTACCCAAAACCAAGCAGATGTTCAGATGCGGCACACGCACCTTCACTCCCAGCTTGTGGGAGGCTGTGGTAAAGGGAAGGTACGCGTGAGGCCAGCCTGGGCTACACAGTGAGCCGGAGTCATCCTGGGCTAACAGTTGGGGGCTGGCTGGCATCTTCTTTCCTCATGGTGTCTCCAACAGAACAGCCAACTCTTTTTACATCAGAGGGGAAGCAGTGGGTTTCCCAGGCTGTCACCTTTTCTACATTCTGTCTGTCCCGTCAAGTGTGTTGAAGCTTATGTTTGGGGTCACTATGACCAAAATACCTAACAGGTTAAAACAAAACAACAAAACAAAAACAGAAATAACGCAGTGCAGGTTCGCGTTGCTCAGAGTTTCAGAGAGACTTGGTCACAGCAGGTGAGGGTGGGGGAGGGGCAGCACAGCGTTGGCAGCAGGTGCAGGCATTAATTCCACAAAGGGCAGCAAGCTGGGAAGCAGAGAGCACAGCAGAGAACTAGGGGTGTGGTTGACCTTCCAGGTCCTTCCCCTGCTAGCCTATCCTCTATACAGGCTTACCTCCTAAAGGCTCGTGACCTTCAAAGTGCCAGGAGCTGGGGACACTGTGAAGTCAAACCAGCACAGCCTTTCATGCACATTTGGCTCGGAGGCTTCCTCCAGGGAAACGGACCTGGCTACACACTAGCTACGCACTGGCTACACACACTTACACAAGGATTCCTCTAGAACTTTGGTGAAAGCGCCAGTGATTGTCACTATTGCATTCTGTGTGTCTGCAAAACCAGTACCATAGACATAACAAATTGTGCTGCCAGCCTTAAGAAACAGCCAGGGCTGGACAGCCCACAGCAACAGACATAGCCAGGGCTGGACGGCCCAGAGCAGTGGACATACATAGCCAGGGCTGGACGGCCCAGAGCAGCGGTAGCTGGTGAAGGCCTGCACGGCTGGACTTGGTGGAACATTTTCCTAGGCGGCCCTTTTTCTGCAGGGCAACCCTTCATCTCTCTCTTTTGCAACAGAAGTTGCAAATAAAAGTGCTTTCTTCTACTCTGGAGCCTTCAGGGAGAGGGTCACACTCTGGAGGCGTCTTTTCTATTGTTCCACCGCTTCCCTGGCTTCTCTTTAATGGTAAGAATCTCTTTAGCAACCTGCTTTATCTGAAACAGCTCTAATGTGCTCTCTGTCCTTTCCTGGACAGCCTGCTCGTTTACCTAAATTCTCACTACCTGGCTAAAAGCAGCGCGTAGTAACCATGCCACAGCTGAACTATCATACTGTCTTGACGTTTCCTCCACCAAATCATCCATCCATTTCCCTTCTCATTCCTCCTCATTCATATTTTCAGGACCTGGCTCCAAGCATCCAGATTCTTGGCCAAGTGCAGCACAAATCACTAATTCTCTTTAGATAACATGTTCCCACCGGAAACATCACGAGCTCAGCCTTCGTATTCACATTCCTATCCACATTTTGAACTTTCAAACTCCCAACAGAACCAACCAGGAAGCTCTCTTTAGAATTCTAGGGTTTATCAAACCCACAGCTTAAAGCTATTCCTTAGTCCTCCTCAACATCAGTTCTAAGGACCTAAGAGTACCGTCTCTTCCGGGTTAGAACTCAACCGAAGGGACAGGGACACAGGAAGAGCAGAGGGGAGATGTGAGTCTGTTGCCAGGGCAACAGTTCTCACCGAAGCCGCGCTTGTCCCAAACTCTCTCCACCCTGAAGCCTGGCTCGGATGTCTGTGGCATCTGAATACTCCACCGCCCCTGCCTTCACCCTAGGCTTACTTAGACCTGACATCAGGCATTACCTGCTATAAATACCTCCGCTCCTGATCCACACAGATAGCCTATCCCGCAGAAAGTCGCTCCGCAGCATGGACCAGCAAAGGACGTGGGCAGCAGGAGGGCCCTTCTTGCTGCCACTAAGAACCTACAAGTACCCGAGCACTGGGCATTGCATTGGGAGGCATTGCTTGCATTGCATTGGGAGATAATGCCGCTCCCTGCGTTCCGCGCCCCCCCCCCCGCATTCCGCACCCCCGCGTTCTGCCCCGCCCCCCGCGTTCCGCCCCCCACCCCACTCCCGCCCCGTTCTGCGTGTTTACCTGCACGGTCGCAGCTCTTGAGTTAAAGTCGCCTTGGCTTTTCAGGCTACTCCCACCCGCCAACCCGGACACCAGTCTCTTCCACCTCGTGTACGTGGATGCGATCGCCATAGCCATCGTTGGATTTTCCGTGACCATCTCCATGGCCAAGACCTTGGCAAATAAACACGGGTACCAGGTTGATGGCAATCAGGTAAAAAAATTGTCAGTTTCACACGGGGAGTTTCACTGGGGCGCGAGCTGCTGGAGGCGTCAAGTTTAGTAGGGAAGCCTTCATCTGGTGCGGGACACATTTGAAGCACGTGTTTAGTTGACCCTGCAGTGTGCTCCTCCCTCCCTCCCTCCCTCCGTCCCTCCGTTCTCCCTCGCTTCTTCTTTCTCTCTCCCTTCCACCACTGCCGCACACAAGGTCTCACACAGGCTAATGACCTGGAATCCGTTATGTGACCGAGGCTGGCCTCGAACTCACAACAGCCCCGACTGCTGGGATTTTGTCTTCTCTTTGCTGCCTTCTTTTATGATATAGCCGCCGGTGGGTGTTTAATCCAAACACCACGACTTGCAATCTTGCTCTAATGTCTATTTTAGTTCGTTGCATTTTCCCCCCACATTTTATGGCAGATTCTTTATAAATGTTACAAAATAGCAAATCTTCGCATAGAATGAGAATCCTTTCTGAGAAAGGTCAAACAAATACTTTTTATTTTATCTTATTTTATTTTGTTTTCAAGACAGAGTCTCATTATACATCTCCTGCTTGCCTGGAACTCACTATGTAGACATGGCTGGCCTTGAACTCAGAGATCCACCTGTCTCTATCCCCCAAGTACTAGAGTTAAAGGCGTGCACCACTATGCCCAGCTGGCAGATACTTTTTCTTTACACAATGGCATACCGGTTATTTTAGAGGCACAGTCTCACTCTGTAGCTAGCCAGCCTCAAACTTGTGGTACCCTGCCTCAGCCTCCAATTACTTTAGACACGTACAGGCATCCTTGTGCCTGTACGTGTCTAAAGGAACCAGATACTCCACATTTATATAAAACCAGCCTAGAAATTCCAAAGTAGCACTGAGAGCAGGACTCCCAGGTCCAAAGAAGACACTAGCATGAATTTCGTCACAAGCAACAGGCCACACATCTAAAAGACGCCAGTACTCATGTCTCCGGAACTTTCTCTTTCGAAAAGTATTTTCTCGGCTTTTTTGCAGTCTTTTTAAAGCCCTGTTTGTGTAGAGAGTGGGTTTGGGAAAGAGGGGGTAGGTAGGAATCACAGCATTTATCTCCAGCACAATACAAATCCAGTTTTCCTCCCACTGTACGATATGCCGTAATTCCGATTTTGGACTCATGCTAAAGAAACAGCGTTTGCGGAGCGAAGGGGCAGCCTGTGCTGCTGACGGGGTGTATCTGATGCACTCTGGGCTCCTCCCTGAGAGTGACCGTCGCCTGTGCTTTGTTCCCACACGGAAAAGGAGCTCATCGCCCTGGGGATCTGCAACTCCATCGGATCGCTCTTCCAGACCTTTTCGATCTCGTGCTCCTTGTCGCGAAGCCTTGTTCAGGAGGGAACAGGAGGGAAGACGCAGGTGCGTACACGACAGGGCCTCTGAGAACTGGCGGTCTAGACGGTGACGTGACGCAGGTGCGTACATGACGGTCTAGACCGTGACGCAGGTGCGTACACGACAGGCCTCTGAGAACTGGTGGTCTAGACGGTGAGTCTCTTAGTTCTGTTCTGAATCCAAATAATGCGACCTGCAGAGCTACATTCCAGTGAGCTGTGTCACAAATCAGAGAAAGACATGACTGGTTGAAGCAAATCACACATGCACACACGTGTGCGCGCGCGCACACATATACATGCACACACATGCACATACGTACACACATATGCACACACAGAGACACAAGCGTGCGCACACATATGCACATACACACGTGCACACGCGCACACATGCACAAACATGCACACGTGCGCACATGTATGCACATGCGCACACACATGTATGCACACATGCACACACGTACACATGTGCCCATACATATGCACATGCACACATATGTACACGTGTGTCCACACATATACACATGCACAAGCACACACATGCGCGCGCACACACACATATGCACACACACGAATCTATAGGAAGGAGGCACCTTCTCCAGTTAAATTGGAAGTTCCATGACACTCCACCTGCTACAGTAAACCTTAAATGTTCAGACATGAGATTTTTCTGCCAGCCTGATGCTGAGTCTGACCATGACGCTAGCTCCATCCAACGGGACATTCACACGATGATAGAAGTGTTTATTCTTTGCACCATCCAGCATAGCTGCCATGAACAAGATGTGGCTATGCAACCAAGACCTTTCATTTCAATGTTTAAAAACTGAACTCATGGCATGTGATGGGCAGCTGCCATATTGGACAACAAATGCTAGACTCTGTCCCTGATCTCAGGTTGGCACCCAATGCCATTCTCCACCTCTGATGAGCTTTTGGCCAGGATGTTTCTGTAATTCAGTTCTGTTTAAAAGCCGTAAGAGGAACTCACTGTCTAGGAGTGGGGATGGGTGTGGGTCGGAGGTAAAGAGCTAGTGTTGTAAGTCTATGTGATGCTTTGGAAGACTTCTTTAAACTGCTGTGCTCTTGGTTTTCCCGTGGTGAAAATGGCCAAGATAAGCCCAGCCAGTGCCTACTTTTGACTCTGGTCTCAAAGCCTCTTCTGTGTGTCTTCTCCCATCCAGCTTGCAGGTTGTTTGGCCTCGTTGATGATTCTTCTGGTCATATTAGCCACCGGATTCCTCTTTGAGTCACTGCCCCAGGTGTGTAGTGGGCTTGGTGGGAGGGAGTTCACGCTGTTCTGTTCCTATTCTGTGGCTGTCTTGGGGGGTTGGGCTTTTCTTCTATTCACTGTAACCTCAGCAGGGCAGTAGTGGCGCCATAGCAAGGACCCGGTCCTGCCCTTCACCTACCGAGAGCTGCACATCCTTGACCTGCTGGCCAGTTTCCTCATCTGTAAAGGAACATTTGGGCGGGCTGACCCCCAAGACACCTTCTGCTTTTGACCCTCAATGGCCTTACATTTTCATTAAAATTCTGAGATGACCTACAACAGTTCGTTTATTTGCTGATTGTATTACATCTAAGAGAAATCAGGAAAAAAGAATGAAGTCATGAGGAGGAAGACTATAGACGAAATAATTCCTGTGGCCGCCAATTTTATCCTGGACCTCTTAGCTGTCGTGCAGATTTTCTGGTAGGGCACACACCTGGTTTTCTAGGACCAACTTTAAATGACCAAACGCTGGAAATCCTGGTGCCCACAGCTTCAAAGGTGCCCCGAGTGCTCCATAAAGCTAGGCGGGACAAAGGGGCGGAACGGGCAGAGGGAAGGCAGTGAGAAGTCAGCAACGGAGGCCCTGTGGTCCCCACCGGAGAGACAGGGATGACTGTGCTGTGTTGCAGGCTGTGCTTTCGGCCATCGTGATCGTCAACCTGAAGGGGATGTTTATGCAGTTCTCAGATCTGCCCTTCTTCTGGAGAACCAGCAAAATCGAGCTGGTAAGTAAAGGGGGTTGTGCGTTAGAGGTCAGCAGCTACCAGCAGCATGAATAAAAGCATGAGAAAGACATTAATGCCGTGAACTTGTTATTCAGGTGAGGCGTGCATGGGTGTGCGCGCATGCCTGCGTGTGTTTCTTATGGAATTATTAACATGATTCTCTAGAAGCCTTTCGGCTTTCCTTTAGACCATCTGGCTTACCACCTTTGTGTCTTCCCTGTTCCTGGGGTTGGACTATGGACTGATTACGGCTGTGATCATTGCTTTGCTGACTGTGATCTACAGAACACAGAGGTGAGTGCCTGGCTGACGCAGTGCAAGTGTCCTGATGTTGTCTCTCACTCTTTGGGGGCCTTCCATGCAGCCCTCAAATAAATACAGGGACTTATTACTACTTATAAATGCTCAGCCTTAGCTTGGCTTATTTCTAGCCAGTTTTTCTTAAATTATGCCATCTACCTTTTGCTTCTTGGCTTTTGACTTTCTCTATTTCTGTGTATTTTCTATGCTTCTTCCTCCACGGCTAGCTGGCTGTGTGGCTGGGTGACTGGCCCCTGAAGTCCTCCTCTCCTGTTCTTATTCCTTGATCTTTTCTCTCTTTTTCTCCTATTTATTCTCTCTGCCTGCCAGCCCCGCCTATCCTTGCTCCTGCCTCGCTATTGGCCATTCAGCTCTTTATTAGACCATCAGGTGTTTTAGACAGGCGAAGGCTCACAGCTTCACAGAGTTAAACAAATGCAACATAAAAGAAAGGAAGACATCTTTACATCATTAAACAAGTGTTCCACAGAATAAGTAAATATAATACATCATAAAATACTTCTCCACCGCCGTGTTCTTCACCACAGCTGAAGTTACAATTGACTAGAAGAAAAAAACACACGATAGGACACAAGCCTGGCATGTTCAGGGCCCTGGATTCAAGCCCCAACACCTGAAGGGGCGAGGGGGATAAAAATAATTCCATTCAGTTGTGTGAGATGCTCTACTATGCCATGGTTGAAGGAGACCTGGCAAGGGTCTTATTCTGAGAGCCTGAATGCTACCTTCATCCCTGCTTGCTCCCCTCTTCTGAGTCCATCACGGTTCGTCAACACCGTGGCGCTAACTCTGCGTCTGCTCTCACAGGTTCTAGCTGCCCCTCCGCTCTGAGCTTCCGGGCTCTGTCATCCCTTCTTCCTGCTGAGAAACTGGGTCCACTGGGGAAGGCATAGAACAACCTTTCAAAACAAGAGCTTCACATGTGAATAAGGGGAGCAGAGATGAAGGTACCTTAAAGTGGTACCACCCATTCAGCTTAGGGAAATGTTTGTTCCACCTGTCATACACAGGTCAGAGGTCAGTCTGCCTGTAGTTACAAGTCACAGGATGGTCCTTTAAGTTTTGAAAGGCCCCTTGTGTGGGATTATTGGGGGATGTTAACCCTTTGCCTGCAGAACAGCAGATGCTCCTGCTGTCTAGGTAGGAAGAGAACATTTTCATCACTGAAATGACATAAAGGAAAAACGTAAAGAACATGCGGTCTCAGTTGAGAACGGAGTTGACTACTTTAATTAACACATTTTAAAACTATTGTCCATTTTTCACCTTTTTAATTTTATTTTATGTGTGCAAGTGTCTTTGCCTGTGTGTACATCTGTGCAGTGTGCACACACCCAGTGCCTACGGAGAGCAAAGAAGGGTGTTGTATCCCCTGGAATGGGAACTGTGGGCAGTTGAAAGCTGATTTACCGGTGCTGGGAATTGAACCAGAAGCCTCTAGAGGAGAAGCAAATGCTCTTAACGACTGAGCCATCTCTCTCCCGCCCCCTGCTGTCCATTTTCTCTTAAAGAAGTTTCCCCCATTGTTATACAAGCTCTTACTGGAATATAGAGGAGCTCCCTCTCTCAGAGCTCTGGTAAGTAGTGTGCTTAAAGATACCTAGGGGGCTGAGGGTGAAGCTCAGGGGTAGAGTGTGCCCTTTCCAGAAACGAGGCCCCAGACCAGCCCTCAGCTCCAGGACAAACAAGGTCTGTATCCTCTGACAAACCACAGCATAGAATCTGGGAAGTAAATGACTCATTCTCTTTACTGAGTCGGGTTTCATGATTTCTTATCAACGGTTGTTCTTTGCTTTATTTCTTTAATGGTACACTTCTTCGTCTCCCTCAAAATAATTAGAATTGAGTTTTTTTGTTTTTTGTTTTTTGTTTTGTAAATTAACCCATTTATTTAGTTGGCTGTGCACTATTGTAGTTAGTAGCACTTTTACTGGTCTTTCAGTTCCTTCAGTCTTCTGATGGCAGACTTCACTGTGACGGCAGAAGTCGTGTTGTAGGTCCAGGCCCCGCCAGCCACTGTCTTCATGCAGGAGCCATAGTGCCCGATGCCAACGGCTCGTCTCTTCATCTTGGTCTTGCCACAGAAGGAGCACGTGTACTTGGCGTGCTGGCTGATTTCAATTTTCTTCACCATTTTCCGGAGGGAGGCACCATAGCGGGTCCCGTATTTCCCAACGATCCCGACCTTCTTGGTGCGTTTAGCCATGTTGCTGGAACCTAAGCCAAGCACGGAGAGCTAGAATTGAGTTTTATGTCCTGTCCTTTCTGGTTGTCCTGGAATTTTGCAGGTTGGCATTTGGGAGACCATCGCTCAGAATACCTGTCTGTTCTCAGTTGCTTCTTATTCTAGAATTAGGGCATCCGTCCAAGAGCCAGCTACTACACATTGGTTTTGGTGTTGTCTTGGTTACGGTTTCTCTTGCTGTAATGAAATAATGTGACTAAGAGGAAATTGGGGAGGAAGGGTTTATTGGGCTTACACTTCTTCATTGTAGTCTATTGTTGAAGAAAGTCAGGACAGAAACTCAAACAGGGCAGGAACCTGGGGGCAGGGGCTGATGCAAAAGCCATGGAGGGGTACTGCTTACTGATCTGATCCCCGTGACTTGCTCCGCCTGCTTTCTTAAAGAACCCAGGACCACCAGACCAGGGATGGCCCCACCCGGAATTGGCTGGGCTCTCATCGATCTATCACCAATTAAGAAAACGGCTTAACTACAGCCTGGTCTTAAGGAAGCATTTTCTCAACCGATGTTCCCTCCTCTCAGATGCCTCTGAAAGGACATAAGACTATCAAACTGACACAAAGCTCTCCAGCACAGGCATTTTCCAAACGCTGGGGTGGGTTCCTCTGAGGACACAGCCCAGAGGAGAAGCCTGCGTTCTACAAACCATTCCTAACTTTGAACTTTGGGTGTTATGGCTACAATGGAGTCTGTCTTTCACCTAAAAGTTCATGCTTTCGTTAGCTTTGGAAAGCCTGATAAAATAACTACAATCTTCCTTGAGTTGATGGTTGTTGAGGTTCTGCTATGCTGCCCCCAGACAGGCGAGGCTCTCGCGCTGTTGTGGTCAAGAAGACATTATCCTTCCCTTGTACACATTGGTCTTCCTCTGAGGATGAAGGCAAGGAATAGGGATGTGGACAATGATAATTAGTAAGAGGGCAGTGAGTGACTATAGCTGCTTACATGCCTAGCTCTTTGTGAAAGTCAATGGTCTGTATCTTTCCATCCACACAACCCAAGGACTGTTAGCATCCCCATTCCACAGGGTGGCTGGGAACCTTAGTCCACAGCCTGTGATGAGACAATGATTCACATGTGGTTCTTCATGGATCTAGAGGCTGGTTCTTGTTTGTCTTTGGGGACATGATTTCTCTGCGTATCACTGGCTGTCCTGGAACTCACTCTGTAGACCAGGCTGGCATCCAACTCAGAGATGTGCCCGCCACTGCCTCCCAGGTGCTGCACACCACCACTGCCCAGCTTCAGAGGCTGATTCGTAGGAACTTTATCATCTTCATCAAACTGGAACACATAGTTATGCGTGCTGCAGGAGGTGCGGCAGGCTCCACAATCAGCAAAGAAAACCGATGGATGTTTATGAAACGAGACTTCTTCACTCTGGGTACCCACTGACCTCTGCTGGGACCAGTAGGATCTAGACCTGTACAGAAAGGGTGCCCGAGCACTCCAGGGGTCAGGGCAACTCTTTCCTCATTTGCCAATTGAACTGCTCCTTTGTTCTCTCTACAGCCCGAGCTACAAAGTCCTGGGGCAGCTCCCCGACACCGATGTATACATTGACATAGATGCGTTTGAGGAGGTAGGACCTTTCTCTGATACCTTACCTGAGTGTGAACTTGTGGCGGGGAGTGTATCTACCTACGGGGAAGGAGAGAAGGGGAGACGTCTGTCTCACCGTCTGGACGTCTGGATTCCATTTTGTACTCTATTAATACCTAATATACCTGAGGTGTATGAATTACCCCACTTCCTGATGTTCGTTTTCAATAAGAGTGGATCTATAGAGTTACGAACCCTACGGCTGAGGATATCTTGTGTGCACATGGCTTTCTTTTGATGAGTTCAAACCAACGGAGAAATGCCATTGTTAGTCATGCTAAGACCTAGGCGGAGGGATGGCGGCCCTCGCCCACTTCATCTTCAATAGTTAGATAGAACCTCAGCCTTCTTTGATTTTGATGTTCTTGTCATCTGCAGAATCTCAAGGACTTTATAAAATCTTTGAAAGCTATTTTATTTGTTTTCTGCTTGAGGAAAGACTGAGATTCACTGTAAGATGTTGGGAAATGAGCCTGGTGTCAGAATAGACATTTCTCTATTCATTACTAAACTCTAACTAGCATCTTCAGGTTCCATGAGGCTTCTGGAGAAAAAATTCACTCTGCTTGAGTTGATTGCGGATCCAACCAAGCGAATCTGTGTTCACCTCGTTGGCCTGCAGTCCCCATCTGGCAATAGCCTAGCGTTCTTCTCCGTTTTCTTTCCTCGATGTTTCCAGTTCTTCCTTGTGTTTAGTGGTTTAAAAAAAAAAAAAAAGAAGCCAAGATTAACTCATAAAATAAATAGGAGGATGTGTGTTTTCTAAGCTTTCAAATGAGGTGTGGCAGTCAGTCCTGTGGTCCTGGCTCCTCGTGAAGCAGAGGTGGGAGGGTTGCCTCAGCCCAGGAGAGGGGGCCAGGCCTGGGCAACAGAGTCTCACATGAAGCCTTTACTTTGTAAGTCTCCTTTTGAGTTTTTGTTGAGTGATGTAATTTTATCTAAACACGGTAAGCGGGCCCTTCACACTTTCTGTTGTCAAGGGCCCTCTTTCTGTTTCATCTCCATGTTGGAGGAGGGAACTGACTGCAATCTTGATTCTGAAATGTACCCAGCTGTTAAAATCGTTAATGTTTTACTTCTCAGGTGAAAGAAATTCCGGGAATAAAAATATTCCAAATAAATGCCCCAATTTACTATGCAAACAGTGACTTGTATAGCAACGCACTAAAAAGAAAGGTGAGCGCCTTTTTGATTATTCATTAAGAGTGATAAATAAAAATAAAAACAAAATTTTGATTTTTTTTAAATTAGAAACTAAAAGTTGATCATTTCTGAGGCAGGCGTTGTGGGTTGGAAAAGAGTAAAGAATTGCTTCTCGACCTAGAGTGAAATATACAAAAAATTCACTATAGTAAGCTTTTTGGGTTTGTTATTTGTTTTGTTTTCTTATTTTGTTTTTCAAGACAGGGTTTCTCTGTGTAGCCCTGGCTGTCCTGGACCTCACTCTGTAGACCGGACTGGTCTTGAACTCAGTGTTCCACCTGTCTCTACTTTCCAAGCGCTGGGGTTAAAAGTGTGCACCACCACCACCCAGCTATTTTAAACAGTTCTAGGTGCACAATGCGGTGTCTGTCGTTCAGTGCGTTGCCATGGTTACGCCGCCATCAGCTCATTCCTTTGTCACGTATGTTCTTTAAAGAAATGGGAAGGTAGTCTCACTCTAAGGTCCCTGTGGGCTGTGATCCCAGCTCAGCCTTCATTACCCACAAGGACAAGCGCAAGAATCTCACAAGTCCACATTTAGTAAAAACCACTGTTTTTTCAAGTTCTTTAGTGTCTGCTAGTCTTGACTAAAGAGAGATGGCTCAGTGGTTAAGAGCATTGCCTGCTCTTCCAAAGGTCCTGAGTTCAATTCCCAGCAACCACATGGTGGCTCACAACCATCTGTAATGGGGTCTGGTGCCCTCTTCTGGCCTGCACGCAAACATGGAAGGAATGCTGTATACATAATAAATAAATAAATAAATATTAAAAAAAAAAAAGAGTCAGACCAAGAAGATAAGTAAGGGCTGTCACTGAGTTCAGGACGTCTGAGGGAAAGGTTGGGAAGATAACGTGGCCCAGCATGCAGCTGGCCAGGGTGAAAGAACTGGGGATTTAGTGGCGTTCGCGTGGGTTCTTGGGACTAACGAAGTGTAACTCTGCCTACCTTGTCTTCGCAAAGACTGGCGTGAACCCAGCGCTCATAATGGGAGCAAGAAGAAAGGCCATGAGGAAGTACGCGAAGGAAGTCGGGAATGCCAACGTGGCCAATGCGACCGTTGTCAAAGTGGTAAAAGATCTTGTAGTTTCTCTTTTTCTCTTGATCTGCATGTCCTCCCTCTTTAACCATGTTAAAATCTAAACATGGCATGAACTTGCAAACACGGGGACAGCTCTAGGCTTCCTCCATATAAATACATCGCAAGGCTGGGTGAGCTGGTGCCCATCAGGGGGCAGAGGCCAGCCTGGGATGTATGAGATCTATCTCAAAAGCAAAATAAACAAGACCATGATACAGTCAGTTATGAGGATGCTGATGAAATAGGCCATGAGAGCATCGTTTGAAAAGTTAAAATAACACAGTACCATAATAAATTTGACACTATACTTTGTTCAGCTGATGATTCAAAACCCAAAGACTAGTTCTTGCTGTTGGACTTCTGGTAATGTGGCCCGTCAGGCTGACGTCAATAGGGACTATTTTCTAAGTTGGACGGGGAGTGGGAACAATGACTGAGAAGAACAGTGTGTACAGACTAGAATAAAGGGGAGTGTGTATGCCTGAGGAAACTTAGCTAAATCTGAATAAATACACATACTGAGTTTTGAGAACACATGAATTTATTTTCCATTATAAACTTCTCTTATAGGAAAAAAAAAAGGTGAGTTGATTAGAAAATCCATGACTTACGGTGCTGGGGAGGTGGCTCAGCAGTTAAGAGCATTAGCTGCTCCTCCAGAGATCCTGGGTTCGACTCCAGCACCCACATGATGGCTTGCAACTCCAGTCCCAGGGGTATGATGGCCTCTTCTGGCCCCCGTGGGTACTGCATGCACATGGTGCACAGACATACGTGCAGACATGTCACTCATATACATAAAGTAATTAATTCTAAAACATAAAGGAGAAGATGTATGGCCTCAATTTTGACACAGGATGCAGAGGTGGATGGAGAAGATGCCACGAAACCTGAAGAAGAGGATGATGCGGTAAAATACCCCCCAATAGTCATCAAAACAACATTTCCTGAAGAGATGCAGCGATTTATGCCCCAGGGGGAAACCGTTCACACTGTCATCCTTGACTTTACCCAAGTCAATTTTATCGATTCCGTCGGAGTGAAAACTCTGGCCGGGGTAAGTACCACCTGGAACAAGTCATCCAGTGTCTGTCCACCCAGCTTTCCGCCCATCACCTCAGGGGCAGGGACCAGAGCCCCTTGTCTGTCAGTTCTTACTTTGTGGATGCTTTTGAAACTTCTGGTTATGGACATTTTTTAATGTAGAGTATAACTTGATGATCTTCATGTGCAGCCCTCACTTAGCTGCTAGAGTATAACTTGATGATCTTCATGTGCAGCCCTCACTTAGCTGCTAGAGTATAACTTGATGATCTTCACGTGCAGCCCTCACTTAGCTGCTAGAGTATAATGAACAGTTTATGGCCAGTCTGCCTTCATGAATTCCCAACACTACACCCTAGATGTCCCATTATCTGTTCATATCTTAGTATCTATCTCCACAATATTTATTTAAAAACCGCTATCATAGTGCCTTTGTTACACCAGAATAAAATTTAATAATGCTTTCATACTCTTAGTCGCTGTTGGCATAGAAACCAAATAGGTACAAAATTACTTTAGCTTATTAGCCTCAAGGTGCGTAATTGCTGAAGCTAAGAAGCCTGAGGAAATGAACCTGAGAACCTCGCGTATCGTTAGCCCATATCAGTGGAAAATGACTTGCTGCATGTGAAGCAGGGCCAAGAAAAGTTAAACTTGGTTTCGATATCGTTACAGATTGTGAAGGAATATGGAGATGTCGGTATTTATGTGTACTTAGCCGGATGCAGCCGTGAGTACACCTTAGGATGGGAAAGCCTTTTTATTTTAGATTTATTTTATGTGTATTGGTGCTTTGCCTGCATGTATGGACATGTACCATGGGCATGCCTGGTGGCCACAGGGGTCAGAGGAGGGATCAGAACCATTAGAGCTGCAATTATGAATTGTTGTGAACCATTGTACTGATGCTGGGACCCGAACAGGGGTCCTCTGCAAAGGCAGTGCCTGTGGCTCTTGAGCCATTTCTCCAGCCACCAGGTGGAGAAAGTTTTAATATTCTCATTTTTGGTGGTTGGGTGGCTGGTTGGTTTATGTTTTATTTTGTTTTGTTTTTAGAACTAACTACACTTGTCATTTTCCCCTATAATTTAAACTTTTCTACAGACTAAAAAAAAAAAAAAAAAAAAAAACACTCCTCTGAAAAATCACCATAAAGCCAGTTTTGAAATCAGTTAGCTGCAGGTGTTGAGACGGCCTTCTGGCCTAGAGCCGGAAGACAGGAGTTGGTTGGAGTTTCCTGTTTCAGTAGCTACTACACACAAGTCATGATTCTGTCGGGCTTTCTGCTGGTTAGGACTTCCATCCAGTGGAATAGCTTTCCTGCTGCTTTTGTTTTATATTATATCTTGGTTGAGAAGGGGCTTAAAATCTACACAAAGACATCATCGTTATTATTAACCTGTGAAGTCGGTGAGAACATGAACGCCAGCCGCACACGTCAAAGGCGCCTGGCAGAGAACAGGTTCTCACAGAGGAAGCAGTGATGTGTAAAATGGAGCAGCTCCCATGGAGAGCAAACAGACAACAGCTTTTGAGTTACAAATTCAACCAATTCGCATCTTCCTGTAGACACCCAAATGGCACGTGTCATTTGTCCATTACCTCATCATCTATATAAACAAAAGTCTAGAAAAATCTTCAGAGTCAAAAGGAACCCGATGGGGGCAGGTGTGAAGGGTCTTTAACACCTTCAGGAGGCAGAGGCAGAGAACTCTGAGTTCGAGGCCAGCCCCTGGTCTACAAGAGCTACTTCCAAGACAGGCTCCAAAACTACAGAGAAGTCCTGTCAAACACACACACACACACACACCAAAGACAAAAACAAACTGTGGAATGTGAAATATGTTTCTTTTCTTTGTATAGCACAAGTGGTGAATGACCTCACTCGCAACCGGTTTTTTGAAAATCCCGCCTTAAAAGAGCTTCTGTTCCACAGTATCCATGACGCAGTCTTAGGCAGCCAAGTCCGAGAGGCAATGGCCGAGAGAGAAACCTCAGCTCCCACTCCCCAGGACGACATGGAGCCCAATGCCACACCCACCACACCCGAGGCGTAAAGGACCTGCATGGGGTTTGCGCCTCTCCTGAACTCTGGACCTACACACTTTCTCCTCTCCACCCTAGTTAAGGCTTGATTTGGAGGGTGAATGATAAGATGTATCTAATACTTGTGTTGTTTTAATCGAATGTTTCAAAGATTAACTGGCCTTTTACACTTACGCAGTGACACTTCTATTATACCTTAGTGTTATGTTTGTTCTGTTTTTTTATTTTTATTCTCACTTTTGATTTATTATCTATTAACCTTTAGAAAGGTTACAGATCACGTGAAATGACAAAATTAGCATATGTCTTAAAATCTGTATATAAAATATAAATTACTTCTAATTTCAAACTCATATTTTTGTACTACTCAATCTAAAAGAAGGAAATAAAGGAAGGGAGGAAGGGAAGGAGGGAGGGAGGAAAAGAAGGAAGAGAGAAAGAGAGAGAGAGAGAAAGAAAGAAAGAAAGAAAGAAAGAAAGAAAGAAAGAGAAAGAAAGAAAGAAAGAAAGAAAGAAAGAAAGAAAGAAAGAAAGAAAGAAAGAGGGTGGAAACAGAGAAAGAGAGAAAGGAATGGCTCACATCATTCTTTACACAACCATCTCAAAACATTTGTCTTGGTCATGTAGAGTTTGAAGATGAGATTTTATATCCCGCCCCCACCCCACACAGCTTCTGAGTATGGGAAAAGCCATACTTTCCTCTAGGAAAGGCGTTGAGTCCAGCCGATGTTGGTGGGTCCCTCTTCGTCTGCATCTCTGCTTCTGGAGGCATTTCTTCTGGTTCACGATCTTCACCTTCACTGAAAGCTGCTGCTACTCAAAGGGTTTTTGGAGCAAGACTTGGAACCATTTTCTTAGGCTTATTTGATCCAAGTTGGATGGAGATGACCACCTGTGGCCAATCTGAACTTGGAGATCTTTGTGGGCTTTGTTGGGGGTCGGCACCAGCAGCTTCTTCGGCTCTTACTTTTCAGAGCTGCTGAAACTGGAGCTCTCCCCTCCATTACTGGAAGAAACTGTTTTCAAAGGTTTTTCCGACTCTTCAGGTCATCCAGTGGTTCTGGCTGGCTGGGGCTTGTCAGGCTTCTCTCCCGCCTTCCTGTCCAGCATCTTCCCCATTCCCTCCCTTAGTGTTATCTTTGTAAGCTGAGCACTTGAACATTTTTACGTATTTTCTAGAACGCGCTATATCACCAGATGGTTAGTGGTTCCTTAGTTTTGTGCTTGTTTGGGAAGAGACTGTCTACATCAGTTTCCTAACAGAAGAGGAAACCTAAAATGTTCTAGAAGTACTGGTTTTACATGATTTATTATTACAGAGTTGATCTAAGTGCATTGTGGGTAAGCTGAGAAATAGACAAAGGAGAATAAGACAGCAGAACATATCCTCCCTGCTCAGAGATGACCACTATTATTAGTATTTAGTGAGAATCCCTCCTGATCTTTTCCAGTGTATATATATTTTCCAGCAAAAATAAGCTCGTCTGCAGTGTTTTATGGTCCATCCTTTTAGCTGGCATTCTCCACTGTCTTATTCCAGAGCATCTCCTCACGCAGTATTCAGGCTTCCTATTGCCCTCCAATTTGTCATTGGTTTATCTACAGTTTTAATTTTACCACTTTACATTGTAATTGGTCGTGTATCTTATTTCAATGTATACAGTTCTTTTTTGTCTTTTGGCAAAAACATATACAACAGTTCATTAAGAATCCCATTTTGTGACTGTGTCTAGTTGCTTCTCCCAGTGCTGTTGGGCTTGCTCTGCTATTCCCCACATTACCTGCCACCAGGAACAGACTGGTCTTGTCAAGACTATCTCTTGATGGTCTGTCAAAACATCTGTCAAGACACATGGATAGGAAGGAGTTAAAGATTTCATGCCAGTATAGACCCTAGATCAAATGATGCTTCATTTGTGCCGCTCAGAACCCCAGAATGTCTGCCTAGCCTGCCTACCATTTACAGTGTGCACATAAAGTCTATCAGAACGGCAGTCTGATCCTTAAACTGGTGTTCTGCTTTGTATATTATCCATATGACGATTCTTTGACATTAAATGTCATTTCTCATTAGACACTGAACCAGAAATTGTTAACACTGGGTGACAGTCCTTGCCGAAGTGAGTGGTTTCACTAAAGTTTGTCCACTCTGTCTAGCTCACTCAGTTCTCCTACACTTATTAGCTGGTCGATCTATGGACATTATGGTTTTCCCTCCTTAAACAGATCTTACTGGCAAGGGAGTAGTGTTCCATGTCCACTTAATTGTCAACTTCAAAGCAGACTTGATAATTTTTATAATTTTAATGTGCTTCATAACATTGGATTCTTTTTGATGCCAGAGAGCTGCAGTATGAATTTTGCTTTGGTTATTGATAATGAGGTAGCCTAAAAAACCTTTAAGGTCTTTGAAAACCAACCTCCTAGGTGCAGCTGGCTGTCTTCCTCAGGAGCCTGTATGTTAACAATTCATCAAACAGCTTGAATACAAAACGTCTCTCACATTTATAGTTGATGTTTGCAGGTTAAGGGGACTTTTAAGCTGATTCCATCTTGGTTGTTGTTAGAACCTCAAGCTCACTGTATAGCCAAGGTTGGTTTTAAACTCCTAACCTCCTTCTTCAGGTCCATGAGCGCTGGGGCTCTAGGTGTTTGCCGTCATACCTGGCTTTTCTTATACTTCTAATATCATTTTACTCTCAGTAAATCAAAGCACAGGCCAACCTATCCGAAGTTCTTTCTGCTTAAGAGTTGTTGGGGTTTTGTTTGTTGTGTACATGTGTGTGCGTGTTGTTTTTAGATGGGTCTCTAGAACTCACTGAGTAGCTGAGGATGACCTTGTACTCTGCTAGATTTAGGCGCCTGGGCCACCACGCCCAGCTGACAGTTGCTGTTAAGAAATTGTCATTTTGACTTTGTTGTTTGCCATGCCTTCTTATCGTCGCTTTATGTTGGTTTTCATTAAGCTATTGCCAGAAAGAAAGCGGTCAGGTCCCAGTAGAAGTGTATTAACATAGTAGGTTCAGTTTCTCAGTAACTTCACTAACAATTCCCTATAGACCACTTCCTTCTAGTCCTTTACGCTGGCCTGCACGGCAGATTTACAGCCAGGTACTTCTGTGTAGGCATCACACACAAGGTCTGATCCATCTGCGTTCCACCAGACTGCCTTCTGAAAGAGCCCACAGTTACAGGACTTAAGCTTATAGGAGGGACCTCTGTAAAAGGGTCTACATTTTGACCACTTAAGTAGACTCTGAAGCGTTAAACAACATTACCAAACACTTAGCTGTGCATTCCTTAGCACCAGGCTGAAGTCCTAGTAGTCGATAGAAGTAATGTTCAAAGGACATTTTATCTACATTTCACCTTGTTTTCTTCCAGTTTTCCCACTTGTAACCTTTTAAAAGAATCCTATCATGTACATATAGAACTTTTTCTCAAGGTTGGAAAATAGTTTATTATGCATCTGAAAACGTGAAATGTTTAACATCCCATCTATATGTAAATACATCTAAGTATTTTACTCAGAATTGTTTCACACGGAAATTTTGACTTTGTTCTTTTTTAGCCTTAATTCTTCTGTCTATTGCAGGAAGTCCATGCATCAGCTTGCATGTTCTCTGTGGAACTTAGTTACCAGTACTGAATATCTTTCTATGCTTTTCTGCTGACTCAAGTCATCCACATTATAAACCTGGCAGTGACTCAGCAGGTAAAGGTATAAGCCAAACCTGATAACCAAAGTTCAATCCCCAGGACCAACTTCCCCCATGGGGTCCTCTGGCCTCCATGTGTTGTGGCATGCATGTGCACCTGCACACACACACACACACACACACACACACACACACACACACACGTAACTTTCTAAATAGTAAAAATTGACGCTGGAGCAATGGTTCAGTAGCTAAGAGCATTGGCTGCTCTTCTAGGGGACCTAGTTCAATTCTCAGCACCCTCATGGCAGCTCCCAGGTGTCTGCAGCGCCAGTTCCAGGACACCTGACATCCTCAACGCACATAACATTTTTTTTAACTGTAAAAAATAAATGGGCAGGCCGGGCGGTGGTGGCGCACGCCTTTAATCCCAGCACTTGGGAGGCAGAGGCAGGCGGATCTCTGTGAGTTCGAGACCAGCCTGGTCTACAGAGCTAGTTCCAGGACAGGCTCCAAAGCCACAGAGAAACCCTGTCTCGAAAAAAACCAAAAAAATAAAATAAATAAATAAAATAAATGGGCATTATAGGCAATGACAAATATAGAACTTAAAACTTAAACCAGCCTTGTTTCGTGACGGTACAGAAGGCTGTTTTCAGGAGGATTTTCAGGAGGGTGTTTCAACAGAGAAACTGTTGCACTCAAATCCTGTATAGTACACTTCACGAATGGATGGAATGTATTTTTAGAACCAAAGATGAGGGCCAGGGACACTCCAATAGACGGTCATATACACTGACCCTTGGTAGGCTGTAGCAGCTCAGGATGGGATCCCAACTGCCCATGTCATCTGTTGCAGAACCAGGAAGAGTTGGTGGGTATGGATCCTCTCAAGGTCTGGGAGACGCCCATTTTGTAGTTTTCAGTGTGTAAAATGTATATTCCATGTGATCCCATTGTGTATGCTTACCTGTTGAGCAGAGAAAGGAGGCACTCGCCTCCAAGTGAGTACTTTGAGGAAGTGAGCCTGACCTCTTGTGTACGGGATGGGCAGCAAACCCAGAGACTCTTCCCTGGAATGACAGAGGTGTTTCTGTGGGATGGTGGTGGGGATCAGAGAGAGAGGGTCTCTGGTAGGTGAAGTCCTTAACTATTGCCTACCTCTTTAAAGACAGTAAATCAATTTAAACTCTCAAACGAAACTACTTCCCGAGCCTGTAAGCTTCCAAGAGTACAAAATGCTGCTGTCTTTTTTAGTGTTTCGGGAATACTTTTCTAGGATTTAGTATATTGAGATTCTTGACAATGTTTTGAATGCTGCTAAAAATTTGAGAAATGATAATGTATTATCTAATTCTCCAAATATATAAGAAACACCTCAAACCCCGCCAGCAAAACTGTCAAACTAGCACTGCACCGTGGCTGTGCACTGCCTCGGCCTGAATCAGGTGTGAACACCTTGACACATCTCTAACCACCAACCTCAGTTACCTTTCCTGTGGTTTGCTCTAGTCAGAATCAAGGAGGACAGAGCACACCAGCCGTACCTTGTGACTGAAAGGCTTTCTACTTGAAAACTTCCACATGCTTCAAACTTGAGTATACACAGCTCTGTGCTCAACTTCTTCTGACTTAAAACGCACACAGCTTTGCTGGTTTGCAGCTTACTTGTAAATATTATTACTCTTCAATAA